TATTGCTACCTTTTGTATTTATAAACCTTTATTGCTCCATCAGTGCCCCGATATAGTCTTATTTAGCGTTACGTATTAAATATTCGCTCTGAAAGTACTAGATCAACTATTGAATATTGATATTGAATGTGATTAACCCTATTTTTTTTATAAATTTAATTGTTTAAAAACTAAGATCTATTTTTTGGGTCATACAATAATAGGAATACAAGATAAATGAAGTCACTATAACATACAAGTAGGGGTGTTCAAACCGAACCGGAAAACTGTACTAAACCGAAAAGTCAAACCAAACTGATTAAAAATCCCGATTAGATTTGTTTTGATTTGATTTTGGTACTGAGTAAAAAAATCGAACCAAACCGACATATAACTATAAAATATTTATATATACTTTTAAGAATTTTTATAGAATTTTGTTTAAAAATTATCCTGAAATATTTGGGATCTTCTTGTGGGATGTAATATTTAATAGAACTATAAAGTGCATTTATTTTTATTTACTTTAAATAATGGGTTGTATCACTTTCTTATCAAGTGTTATTGAAATGCGTCAACCATCTCTTTGTTCTTCCATATTCATATGTCAAGATTTCTTATATCTTTTTCGAATTTGAAATGGTATTTCGATAACTTAAAATTAAATATAACATATCACTATTTAGGAATCATATTGATTTATATGTTTAATTATTAAATTCGGTAAACCTTGAAAGCGTACATCAACGAAAAATTATTGTTAGATGACTAAAAAAATAAATATCATGTGTTACTAAAAACAGTTCTCCCATAAGAATATTTTAATAGATCACATGTTTGTCAATTTTTTCAATTGTTACTAAACATGTATTAACTTATCAAAACTTCATCTATAACACAAAGTAAGATTGAAATAATATTCATGTAACAAAAAATTCGAAAAACCCGATGAAATCGAACCAATCCAAATCGATATATTTGGTTTGGTTTGCTTTTGATAAAAACCGAACCAACCCGATCCATATAGCATGCAAGTATTGATTTTCATCTCCAATTTCTTGATTTGGTTAGAAAAAATACGGTACATGAAACTGACAAGACAATTGGAACTGCGTTTTTGCGACTTTGAGTAATGCATTGAAGAAGAATTCTATTGTCGTTCTTTTTATGCTTTTGCAACTATATGTATTTTTTCTTGATTGTTACTTTTAAAGTAGTTTGATATTTCAATTTATAACATCGTGATTAATATCTTTTCCAACTTGTTTTGTCCTTTTTCTCTATTCGATTTCCGACTTTATCTGTAGTTGTTTTTATTGATGTTTCATTAATCTTATTTTTCTTCTTCGTCCCACTCGGATATAGAAAAATTTAAGCTTTTGACACGCAAAAATCTTTTGATTTTGTTATTAAAAAATATTAGTACATAGACACCTAAAAATCACCATGAAATCGAAACCGATAAATTATAGTATTATGTTTGGTTAGGTTAATATATATATATATATATATATATATATATATATATATATATATATATATATATATATATATATATATATATATATATATATATATATATCAACTTAATTGATTTGATTTTCTTTTAATAAAAAATCGAATTAAATCGAACCATAAATATTTTTATATCCGACTCACTAGAACGAATATAGATATGATCGAGGTCTATCATTTTAAATTCACCCAAATACTTTTTTGATTGACCAAACATTTTGCAACAAAAAAAATATAAACATAGTTTCCATAAAAATGGATCTAATGCAAAATAATGAACTGAAATGTCAAGATCAATATGCGTGTGATGATTTAGAAATGAATATGCTTTCAATACTTTGACCGAAAGCGAAAGAAATCTCCTCATGATAAGAAGGAGGTTCTCCTTTTGCATAAGGAGAGCCTACCGATGATTATGAATTATTTTCACAATGTTTTCTTAATTTGATATGGCACGAGTACTAGTGTTATGAATATTGTCAAATACTTTATCACTATAAGAAATCAGATTTACGCCGACACTTATTTGTCGACTCTTGTAACAAATGGCGCTGAATATTAAGTTTCTTGACATTTTCAAACAAATGTCGTAAAAATGAGACGATTAATAAAAAAGAGAATTACCAGCTATGTCTATTTATAAGTAGCTCATTATAAAATTTGGTCAATTCATAAAATATTACTAATATTAACCAAATATTACTAATATTAGCTAATTAGCTATTTATTTATTTATTTTTTTTTGAGTGGGTGTTATTAGAATAGATTGGGTACATCTTAAGGAGCTTGAATCTCAGTTTTGGGATGATTTGGTGAAGTTTTGAGGTGGTTTGAATTGAAAATTCGAAGTAAAAACTGAACATGAAAAAAATGATATATGTATCACACTGTGTATCATTTGTGTATCACATATGTATCATATTTGTATCAATTGTGTATCACATGTATATCCATGTATGTGTGTGTATGAGATACATGCGTGATACATGTATCGCAGAAGAATTTTTTGAACTCGATTTAATTACGAATTTTGATACAAAATCAGTCCAAATCACCTTCAATCTTCCTCAAATTTTGTATATTGACTTATCTATATGTTTTCAATGAATTTTAACTATACCCATTGAAAAAATTCCTTTTTTGCTTAGATTTTTGGAATATTATATTTTTTTTATTTCATCACCTTATTTGCTACCTCATCCATGAAATTTTCTTTCCGTCTTGCACCTAATGTTGCTAATCACGCTTAAAAATATAGAAGTTTATTTTTTGCATGTGGTTCTTTGAGAGAAAGAACCTTATTTATTTGGTTTTTTAATTTTTATATGTGCTTGACTAGTTTTGATAAGTTTATGACTAATGGTTGGATGTTGGTAAGTTGAGACTTATTTGGAACATTTGCGTAAGTTTCCCTAATTAAAAATGTCATAAAAGTTTGTGACTTTTGATTTAAGTGTCACAATATTAGTCGGAGTTAAACGACTTTTATAATTAAGGTATTGGAATTTAACTACAAAAATAAAGAACTAGACTAGTAAAGTCTACTATTCTATAAGAGAGAGTTAGCAGGCAACCTCCCCGTCAACATGCCTGCTTGTTGTCGAGGGCACTTTCGGAATTTCATGTTTATATGCTTTAAGCTATTGTACTTTATAGCATTATCACTTGGACACATTGGATGAGTTTGCTGAAAGTATACGGGCCCCAATCCACGCGTTCATAGCAGTAGTATTTGGAACTGACACTTCCTGTTCATGTGGGGCCCTCTTTTGAATGTTCCAATGTCACACATAGCAGTATTTTATACCCCTGAATTATCACTTTAGATTATCTTAATTTTGTGTGGAGAACTCGCTGTTCAATCATGCTAAATAGTACTCCCTCGGTTCACTTTTAATTGTCAAGTATTTTAAAAATAAATTTTTATTTATTATTTTTTTAAAAAAAAATAATTTATTTTTTTTATTTTACTCTTAGCATTAATTATTCATTCTAAATAATTTTTTAAATACATTAAAACTATACACTAATTAATATGAGTATCATAGTAAATTATGTAATTTATTTATTACTATTTCTTAAGGGGTGTATAAAGTCAATAATGGACAAGTAAAAATGAACGGAGGGAGTACATAGCATTTTTTTGGCTCTCTTTTCGCAGTTATAATTTAGATTTTATATTGCTTGTAGTTATTTTGCAAAGTTTCAATGGACGAAAATGTTGAACTAATTTTTTGTTGTCCAAAAACATTATCAGACAGTTTAAGGTCAATTTCGATTGAAGTGCAATATTTTTTTTTTTTTTTTTTTTTTTTTTTTTACACAAAAAATCATGCAAAATTTATCAAAAATGAAACAAGACAGCTAATACACTGCAAGTAATATAAGATATCTTGTGAAGTAGAAACGTTTTTTTTTATAATAGATTAGAGAAAATATAATTTTAAAAAAACAACAACATGAAAACCTAATACTGTAGAAGCAACACAAAATATTTATTCCAAAAGAAGTAAATAAATTTATTCAACAATTTATATACAGGTAAAATGAGCTAGGCACATAATAGTGACATAAAAAAAAATCTAAAAATCAAGTATTAATTAGTGCAAATTTAGTGTAATATTGTTGGAGCTATTAGTTTGTTTACAATGATATTGGTGAAAAATTCCCTAATCAAATAGAAGAAAGGCATTTACATTATGCTAATAAATTTATAAAAATGGAGCAAAAGCTTAGGGAATTTTGCAGAAGATTTAAGAGAAAAAGAAGGATTTAATTGGGATCCAGAGGGCACTAATAGAGTTATTAAAAAGAAAAATATATAAGCAATAAAAATATTAAACTCTAGGCTTTAGCTTGAGGAAGAAGATGATTTCATTTTTTTTTTAAACTGATGCATTAAACAAATATTGGGGAGTAATATTAAGAAGATAAAATGATGAAATAATACTTAGGTAAGCGTTTGGGATTTAAGGGGTTAGAATTGTATTATTGTATTAATGAAAATGAATTATTGTCATAATGAAAATAAAATAAAAACTAGAAAGTTTGACTCTCTTACTGCATCATTATCATTCTTTTAAAAATAAATTAAGAGAATAATATTGCTATAGCTTAATGTTGGATCTTAGCAACATTTATTATATACCTCATTTTCCTCAAAATAAAAAAGTCTAACACAAGTTATTTTATAATATCTGCTAGGGTTCAGTTTAAAATTTAGTAAGCATTCAAATAATATCTGATTGAGGTTTGAGGAAAAAATTATTTAAAGCTGAAATATAAGTAAAAAAAAAAAACATTTACAAGCTAAGTTGTGTTTGGACGTGAACTTGACTTGATAAAATTTATTAAAAACTTGCGCCTGAAAAATCATATTTATTTCCTTAAAAATATTCCTTAAACAAATTATTTAACAATTTACTTGAATTGCCGTTAGTTTATTTCAACATCTGTTACTGTTAGTAACCGATTTTGTCTTTGTCACCGCATTTTACCCAATCTCACGAGAAGCAAAAACCCTGAAAAACCCTCAATCCTCTCCATAATCATTTACAAACTAAGGAGAAACAACTCGGAGACCCAAATACAAAGGTAATAAGAATTCTTTTGCTCTCTTTGCACTTTCTGGCTCTTAATCGAGAAATCTGGCCTTATTCTTTAGTTCAAGTGAAATAAATTTGGTATTATTGCAGTAATTTATTTGTATAAAGTTATTACCAACAGAAAGGGATTAGGTTTTTTATTCTGAAATTGAGCACTCCGCTCTTTCATCAAGTTACTTTTACCTTTTGGAATAGTGATTGTATCTATATGAAATTCAAAGCATTATTTCTAGAATACAAGACATCAGTGGCGGACCCAATATTTTGCGCAAGCGGGTTCAGTCAAAGACAAAGCTGTCTAATAGCATAAGTGGTGACTTGGTGTCGGGTATGACAAGTAAGGTTTGATCATTTTATTATTTTTTTGCTCTTGGTACTCTTTAATTTTAACAAAACTGAAAATATTTTATGAAGTTTAAATTTTTTTTTATCTCTATTCTAAGAAATTCATCTATTTAATTTAACAAATTTTACTTCAAAAAATTTAATTTAACAAATATTTATTAACTCCAAGATATTTAAATAAATCTAGAGTTTTCCTTGTTACTAATAAGAAGCTATTTGCAGAGAAAAGAGAAGAGAAATAGAAGTCAACGAACTAGTAAAATGACAAAGGAGAGAATATGAGAGTAATAAATTTGAAGGATGATGTTTAATTTGAAACAAAGATGGTCTTGGCCTTCGTTTGCACACACTCCATTCAAGTATGGATTAAAAACCAAATTGGGAAATTCCCCAAGACATCAGTGGCGGACCTAGGATTTTGCGCAAGCGTGTTCAGTCAAAGACGAAGGTGTCTAATAGCATAAGTGGTGACTTGGTGTCGTGTATGACAAGTAGGGTTTGATCATTTTATTATCTTTTTTGCTCTTGGTACTCTTTAATTTTAACAAAACTGAAAATATTTTATGAAGGTTAAATTTTTTTTTATCTCTATTCTAAGAAATTCATCTATTTAATTTAACAAATTTTACTTCAAAAAATTTAATTTAACAAATATTTATTAACTCCAAGATATTTAAATAAATCTAGAGTTTTCCTTGTTACTAATAAGAAGCTATTTGCAGAGAAAAGAGAAGAGAAATAGAAGTCAACGAAATAGTAAAATGACAAAGGAGAGAATATGAGAGTAATAAATTTGAAGGAAGATGTTTAATTTGAATCAAAGATAGTCTTGGCATTCAGTTGCACACACTCCATTCAAGTATGGATTAAAAAACAAATTGGAAAATTCCACAAGACATCAGTGGCGGACCCAGGATTTTGCGCAAGCGGGTTCAGTCAAAAAACAAAGGTGTCTAATAGCATAAGTGGTGACTTGGTATCGGGTATGACAAGTAAGGTTTGATCATTTTATTATTTTTTTGCTCTTGGTACTCTTTAATTTTAACAAAATTGAAAATATTTTATGAAGGTTAAATTTTTTTTTATCTCTATTCTAAGAAATTCATCTATTTAATTTAACAAATTTTACTTCAAAAAATTTAATTTAACAAATATTTATTAACTCCAAGATATTTAAATAAATCTAGAGTTTTCCTTGTTACTAATAAGAAGCTATTTGCAGAGAAAAGAGAAGAGAAATAGAAGTCAACGAAATAGTAAAATGACAAAGGAGAGAATATGAGAGTAATAAATTTGAAGGAAGATGTTTAATTTGAAACAAAGATAGTCTTGGCATTCAGTTGCACACACTCCATTCAAGTATGGATTAAAAAAACAAATTGGAAAATTCCCCAAGACATCAGTGGCGGACCCAGGATTTTGCGCAAGCGGGTTCAGTCAAAAAGCGAAGGTGTCTAATAGCATAAGTGGTGACTTGGTGTCGTGTATGACATGTAGGGTTTGATCATTTTATTATCTTTTTTGCTCTTGGTACTCTTTAATTTTAACAAAACCGAAAATATTTTATGAAGGTTAATGTTTTTTTTTTATCTCTTTTCTAAGAAATTTATCTATTTAATTTAACAAATATTTATTAACTCCAAGATATTTAAATAAATCTAGAGTTTTCCTTGTTACTAATAAGAATCTATTTGCAGAGAAAAGAGAAGAGAAATTGAAGTCAACGAAATAGTAAAATGACAAAGGAGAGAACATGAGAGTAATAAATTTGAAGGATGATGTTTAATTTGAAACAAAGATGGCCTTGGCCTTCAGTTGCATACACTCTATTCAAGTATGGATTAAAAAACACATTGGGAAATTCCCCAAGACGTTAGTGGTAGACCCAAGATTTTGCGCAAGCGGGTTCGGTCAAAGACGAAGGTGTCTAATAGCATAAGTGATGACTTGGTGTCGGGTATGACAAGTAGGGTTTGATCATTTTATTATCTTTTTTGCTCTTGGTACTCTTTAATTTTAACAAAACTGAAAATATTTTATGAAGGTTTAAATTATTTTTTATTTCTATTCTAAGAAATTTATCTATTTAATTTAACAAATTTTACTTCAAAAAATTTAATTTAACAAATATTTATTAACTCAAAGATATTTAAATAAATCTAGAGTTTTCCTTATTACTAATAAGAAGCTATTTGCAGAGAAAAGAGAAGAGAAATAGAAGTCAACGAAATAGTAAAATGACAAAGGAGAGAACATGAGAGTAATAAATTTGAAGGATGATGTTTAATTTGAAACAAAGATGGTCTTGGCCTTCAGTTGCACACACTCTATTCAAGTATGGATTAAAAAACAAATTGGGAAATTCCCCAAGACGTCAGTGGTAGACCCAAGATTTTGCGCAAGCGGGTTCGGTCAAAGTCGAAGGTGTCTAATTGCATAAGTGATGACTTGGTGTCGGGTATGACAAGTAGGGTTTGATCATTTTATTATCTTTTTTGCTCTTTGTACTCTTTAATTTTAACAAAACTGAAAATATTTTATGAAGGTTTAAATTATTTTTTTTTCTATTCTAAGAAATTTATCTATTTAATTTAACAAATTTTACTTCAAAAAATTTAATTTAACAGATATTTATGAACTCCAAGATATTTAAATAAATCTAGAGTTTTCCTTGTTACTAATAAGAAGCTATTTGCAGAGAAAAGAGAAGAGAAATAGAAGTTAACGAAATAGTAAAATGACAAAGGAGAGAACACGAGAGTAATAAATTTGAAGGATGATGTTTAATTTGAAACAAAGATGGTCTTGGCCTTCATTTGCACACACTCCATTCAAGTATGGATTAAAAACCAAATTGGGACATTCTCCAAGACATCAGTGGCGGACCTAGGATTTTGCGCAAGCGTGTTCAGTCAAAGACGAAGGTGTCTAATAGCATAAGTGGTGACTTGGTGTCGTGTATGACAAGTAGGGTTTGATCATTTTATTATCTTTTTTGCTCTTGGTACTCTTTAATTTTAACAAAACTGAAAATATTTTATGAAGGTTAAATTTTTTTTTTATCTCTATTCTAAGAAATTTATCTATTTAATTTAACAAATTTTACTTCAAAAAATTTAATTTAACAAATATTTATTAACTCCAAGATATTTAAATAAATCTAGAGTTTTCCCTTGTTACTAATAAGAAGCTATTTGCAGAGAAAAAAGAAGAGAAATAGAAGTCAACCAAATAGTAAAATGACAAAGGAGAGAATACGAGAGTAATAAATTTGAAGGATGATGTTTAATTTGAAACAAAGATGGTCTTGGCCTTCATTTGCACACACTCCATTCAAGTATGGATTAAAAACCAAATTGGGAAATTCCCCAAGACATCAGTGGCGGACCTAGGATTTTGCGCAAGCGTGTTCAGTCAAAGACGAAGGTGTCTAATAGCATAAGTGGTGACTTGGTGTCGTGTATGACAAGTAGGGTTTGATCATTTTATTATCTTTTTTGCTCTTGGTACTCTTTAATTTTAACAAAACTGAAAATATTTTATGAAGGTTAAATTTTTTTTTTATCTCTATTCTAAGAAATTTATCTATTTAATTTAACAAATTTTACTTCAAAAAATTTAATTTAACAAATATTTATTAACTCCAAGATATTTAAATAAATCTAGAGTTTTTCCTTGTTACTAATAAGAAGCTATTTGCAGAGAAAAAAGAAGAGAAATAGAAGTCAACCAAATAGTAAAATGACAAAGGAGAGAATACGAGAGTAATAAATTTGAAGGATGATGTTTAATTTGAAATAAAGATGGTCTTGGCCTTCAGTTGCACACACTCCATTCAAGTATGGATTAAAAAATAAATTGGAAAATTCCCCAAATTAGATTCGATCCTAGCACCTCTCACACTTTGAACCCACTCAACCACCTCCATTGAGAGCATGTTTGTGTTAAAGCAGGTTCAAACGTTTTTTTTAGTAGTAATTTTCCTCTGTTAAACGTAATATATCAATATACGCTGTATAATTTTTCGACGAAGCGGGTTTAACTGAACCCCTTTGACACCATGTGGATCCGCCCCTGCAAGACATGTCTATGAATACGTAGACTAGTATACTTTAACTCAGTTAGTTTGTAGCCCAGAAATTTCAGCTGTGAATTGGGTATTTACAATCGTTTTGAGAATCCCCAGTAAATATTACTAGTATTATATTTTTTTCAGCCTTTAAAGTTCTGCAAAAACAGATATTGGATGTTGGATTGCTGTATCATTGTGATTGTTATGGTAAGCCTTTCACATGTTTTGGTTCTAACAGCTACCTTGCAAACTCTGTTATTTTTAGAGAATTTTGATAGTAATATGTTTTTGAGTCATTTCAAATTTAAGAAAGAACTTAGTATTGGTTCTTCTTGGTTATTGCTGGAGAATGCTTCAATCCACCTTTTTTTATTGCTAGAATATTTCAATACTCTTTGAATCTAAAGCACAATCTTATTTGCTAAAGTGAGACTTGATCTGTAAATCTAGCACAAAACAGAGGAAATTGATTCAATTATGTTAGTCTTACCTGTTTATTATATTAACCCAATTGAATTATGAGACTTTCACTTGGTTTGCTTGGGAATATTATGGGCTTGCTCTAAAGAAAACATGTCTAAGAGATTTTGGTATCATTTTCATGAATCTTCTCTTTTCATGCATCCATGAGCAGGTATAGATTGCTGCTTAGTGTTCAATATGAGTTACAATCTTCTTTACTGAAGGGTGAGAATTGAGCCCATGATCGCCACTATGAGACATTGAATCCAAACTCCTCATGTGCCTAAAGGTACTTTTTTGTTATTAGTGCTAATCATATTTTTATTTGACAAGGGAGTTGCATGCAGTATCATTTCATTTGCTGTATAAAGTATAAAAATTGCATGCCAACTGTTAGAGACTATTTTAACATCTATTTTACATCTTTAGTTTTGACTTACTGTTAGAAACTTTTCTCTCATCATAGGTCATATGCAATTGTTGTTTTAATGTGGTGCTTATGCTTTCCTGAGCCGAGGGTCTATTGGAAACAACCTCTCTATCCTCACAAGGTAGGGGTAAGGTCTGCGTACACACTACCCTCCCCAGATCCCACGATGTGGGATAAGACTGGGTAGGTTGTTGTTGTATAGGTCATATGCAAAAATTAAGAGAAAATGTTTGGTGAAAAAGTGCCGCCGTAGAGATTCCAGTTCCCTCTGTAGATGAAGGCTCACTTTGACCAGCAAAGAACCAGTGTAGAGTCTAGTGAAGAGTGTATAGATTCCAGTTTCTGTTCTATACAAAGGTTCACTGAGTGACCAGCAAAGAATTGAGTATTTTTGTAGTCGACTGTTGACATCTGGAGTTCATTTTCAGATAGTGTTTTTTGTTTTGTTTTGAAGATGTATTAAGTAACTTTTTATTGTACTAGAACAACTATTGGATGGTGTTTATGAGATTTCAAAGAAGATATGTTAGTGAGTATCATGACATTTGTAGAATGAAATTGAATATGCGGTTGTTGTATTAGCTAAAATTTTATTTAGTTATTAATATATAAAAAGGAAAAGAAGAAACTATTAACTACTAATGTTTGCCGACTTTTCTATTTGTGTAGACAGGATGAGTGACCATTTCCGACATTTTTATATATGTCACGAACAAAATCAGTTAAAAGTTTTCATATTGTGACATTTGATAAAAGGTCGTAAATAAATGTTACTTTTTATTTGCCAGCATTAATCTAAATATCGGAAAAAAAAAACGACATTGAAATTTCCGATATTTGATACAAGTGTAAAATAAAATATCGGTAAATAGCTTTATGACATTTATGTGACCATATAAGACATTTATAAAATGTCTGTCATATGCTTAATTTCTTACTATTTTTGTATCTATCAAAGGTCTTAGTTATTGTAGTTTATTTGACGGCTTGCCATGATATTGATTTTGAGGAAAATTTTAGATTTATACATAAGAATGCAAAAATATAATTTGATTATTGCTCTTTTTGGATATACCACATAATTTATACGGCCAACCTAATATTGTACTTGTTACAACAACGGTTTAATCCTCTATCGTAACAGATTATTCCTCCAATGCAGCAACTTAAATCGAAACAACTTAACAAATTTAGCTGGCCCTCAACTCCACCTTCAAGTGGATAGTAAAAAATGGTAGGAAGGGTCAAGTAGGTACAAAGAATTCAATACATACATCAATTGCACAAAAATTCACAACCAAGATCGAAATTAGATTTGCACTTGTAATAAAATTTCAATTTACATTAAAACTATTTTTACAATTGTTCCAATGCTTTGGACATTATTGACTTGTGCATTGGAGTGATGACCTCAACATCGCTTGTTTTCTTTTTAAACTCTCTTACAAGGACTATAACTAACGATAAATTTCACAAATAGTCAAATAACTATGATATTTTTCATCAAAATCATATAACTATACTTTCTCGCATAAAAATCATAAAGTTTTTACAGACTTACACAAAAATCATAGTGACCGGAAAATACAACTTTCGGTTATTATTAATTTTATGTGAGTCTGTGAAAGTTTTATAATTTTTGTATGAGTATATGACTTTGGTGGAAAAAAAATCATAGTTAAATGATCATTGTGGAGGCAATATTCTCATAATTTAGAAGCCACAAGAAGCACTTAACCGAACAAAATCTCTAATCTAGGGAACGAATACTCTGTCTCCTCGAACTAGTTAATCAACAGAGTATGATCATCTCGAACACCAACAACTCTATATATAAACTTGAATACCATAAGTTAATAGAAACAACAGTGGAGTAGTTAACAGATGGAGTTAGGGAAAGATACCTCCTTTAAAATAAATTTAAAAAATAAAAAATAGAGGCAAAAGTGCTATATGTTGAAAGGAAAATTTTCACTTCAAAAAAAGAAAAAAGGAGACAAAATATCGGTGGCGGGTGAGGAGTGAGGACCCGCGTGATATGCGCAACGGCCTTTTTAAATTTGAAAACAGAGGCAGGGGATGAGTTGACGGTTTCTCTTTCCTTATCTGAAACCCCCAATTATGATCAAAAGCAGAGACTAGAGAGTGACGGCACGGATGAAACCCAAACTGATTGATTTCCATTAAATATAAAATAAAATTTGAAAAGGAATTAAAATATACACGCGTTAAATTATGGTTTAGGTTTTCCTTCTGTTACGCTCTTCATCCTCATATGCACGCTGATTTGATCAATTCCCAGATCCGATTTTTCCTCATAGTTCCCCCAAAGTTTCTGAATAATTTTAGCAGAGGTTTATGCTCTTCACCAATTCTCAAAGCAGTTTGAATATTACGATTTTTTACTTTGTGTATTCATTTTGGTGTCACGATTTGAAAGGCTCGATAATCAAAAAGCGATTCTGTTTGTTGAATAGGAGAGAAATTCTACCTTTGATTAGAGATCATGAGCGGAGATGCACCGCAGAAGCTAGACGATGAGCAAATTGCGGAACTTCGTGAGATTTTCCGGTCATTTGATCGGAATAACGACGGAAGCTTAACGCAACTTGAACTCGGATCATTACTCCGATCCTTAGGATTAAAGCCGAGTAATGATCAATTGGAGGATTTAATACAAAAAGCGGACAGGAACAGCAATGGTTTGATTGAGTTTTCAGAATTCGTGGCTTTGGTTGCGCCGGAGCTTATACCGGCGAAATCTCCGTACTCGGAGGAACAGCTGAAGAAGATTTTTCAGATGTTTGATAGGGACGGCAATGGTTTGATAACCGCGGCGGAGTTGGCACATTCGATGGCAAAATTAGGACATGCGCTTACACAAGAAGAGCTAACAGGGATGATTAAGGAAGCTGACAGGGATGGTGATGGTTGTATTAGCTTTGAGGAGTTTGCTCAGGCTATGACTTCCGCTGCGTTTGACAATTCATGGACATGAAACGCCTTTTCTTTCTGGTTTGTACTATTTTGATAGTTTTCATTCTGACAATCTTTTGATTAATTTTAGGCGCCTATAGTTCTAGTGCCTGTTTAAGTCTTTCGTACATAGCAGCAAATAAAGTTTATTTTTGACAATTGCAATGGCATTGGAAAATGGATATCCCTTGCTGTTTTAGGATGGTCTAAAGATTACTGAGTATTTTCCATTGGGGCAATTAGTAAACATAAAGTTCATCTATCTATTACAAAAACATACTGTGCTCGGAGAAGAACCGATATCAATCAAAGAAGCTATCTGGTGGAAATAGATGGGAGTGTTTCAAAATGCATTCATAGTTCAACTTGGCTTTTCCAATTTTGCAAATCTCTTTGTTTTAGTTTTGTTTCTTCTTTTGTTAGGTAAGTTTTTGTTGCAAAAACACATCATTACAGAAATGAGATGCATTTGGTAGGAAGAAACGGAGATCTCCGACAAGCTACCTTCACTCAAATGCTACTTGAATACGATTCTGCAACAGAAATTTTCCCGTTTTCTGCAGTCCTTGTATGTAAGGTTCGGAAAACTTATCCAGAAACAGAAAATTTGTGTCGTTGGAAAACATTTCACATCCTCAAAGCCTAACCAAAACCCTATTGCTCCTCTGTAAATCCAAACATATCTCTTTAAGTTCAAAAACATTTTTACAAACCACACAGTCCCCAAAACATGTCTTCAAAACTTTTACTCAAAACATAAAACATTTTCCAAAAAGGTATGATAAAATCACATCCAGACGCAAACAATGATGATGGTAGGTGTCACGGGGCGTTTTTAGTCATCCTAAAGTTACACCCGCGCGGCAATCAAGTTGCGCACTTGACTCAACCTTTCCCAACACTTAGCCAAATTTTCAGCAAGTTTGGCCTTACACGAAATTAGCAGCAAATATAAAGAGAACACAATCAAATACGGAAAAATCCCAACCTTTGAATTAATTTGAAAATCTACAAAGGAAACCCTCACTTTGCTATGAACACAAGTCGTTCACAGCCCACTTTGTCTAGCCAAGATCACAAGTTGATCTTGCACACTAAGACCTGCCCAATGCCCAACCTTAGCCCCTTTTTGAAACACTTAGAAAGCCTCACGTTTCTCTCTTGTTTCCCTTATTGAATTTTGTTTACTCAAAAAAATCGAATAACGTTAAATTTAGATATGGTTCTAAGGGTATACAAATTTCTTTGATACAAAATGATGATACAAGTATTTTTGCTAGGGAAATGGAAAAACGATGGAAGGGAAGACTGAAAAATATTAGAAGAACCAGCTCAATGAAAATCCTCCCTCTATTGCGGTCTATCTCCCCTTTTATAGTAGAGGGTCACTACTTTATTTGTAACAACATAAAACAATACATATAGTGGAGAACCCATGATGGTTTGTCTCTCCCTTGATTCTCGCCGAGATTCTCTCCCTTGGTGCGGTTGTAACGGCTCTTGTCTGCGAGCTTGGCATTGACTCGAGCTTGGTGCTAGATTGAGNTGCGGTTGTAACGGCTCTTGTCTGCGAGCTTGGCACTGACTCAAGCTTGGTGCTAGATCGAATCCCCAGTCTTAGTTCGAGCTCGGTTTTGCTTTGGAGCATCGATATTCGGGGCATGTGTCAGTCATCGTTACCCCTAGTCCGATTCGGACGCGGGCTCGATAATGATATCGAGTTTTGCGGTTGATTGGTCTTATAGCTCGAAGCTCGACGTCTCTACTTCGGAATTCGTCCGAGCTCGCCATGCGGATACCTTTCGATTGAAACGTCATTGTCTCAACTGGCCTTTATGACTGAGAATCGGTTTTGATCGTATACAGATAGTCCACTCATTTCTCGGAAAGGATGTGGCGAGGAACGGTATGATTTCCCTGCGGCTCGATCAAATTTATGCCGACATTTCTATCGAACCCGATCTCGACGTGTGTGATGGCTGTCCCTTCGGCTCGGTTTTACCGAGGCATTTAATTGTGTGTCAGACGGTGGTCGGCCACCGCTGATACCGAACCGTCAGGCCTCAGTCTATAAATGGTCTTTCCACACAACTTTTACCATTTTTTCGCCTTCTCTTCCTCCAGACTTTCCTATTTATCCTCTCTACTTTGCTGCTACGGGGCCGTTCATACCAGAATTTTGGCGCTGTCTATTTCTTCCTTTGCACCATTTCCTTTCATACCAATGGCGAAAACTTCCAAAACTGTACCTCAGAAAGAAAAAGCCTCTTCCTCACGGCCGTCTGATGATAAGGCGCCGGTGGAGCCGTCAGTTCATGACTATGTCCCTGGCCCATACATTTTAAAAACCGATTTTAAGGTGGAGAACCCTTCCTCCGTTCCGGGTCGATGTGAACACGTATCGATGTACACATGCTCTATAACGGAGGCTCACCTCGAGGCCGTCCGAAAAAATTGCAATTGGGGTTTTGAGGTCGTGCTACAAATTCTGTCTTCTGATGAGGATGTTACCACTTACGTGGAGGGTTTTTTAAGTGTTTACACTTATCCCTTCACATTGGGACCGGTCGACCCTGTGCTTATTGATTTCTGCAAAAGGTATCAAGTCACCCTTGGCCAAATCCATCCCTCTTTATGGGNAAAGAAACAAGCCCCTGGTCCCTAAACAAGGGGAAGATAAGAAGCGAAAAACTTTCTCTCGGTCAGAGGACCCCAAGCCCAAAACTCGCAGGGTGAAGAGAAAAACAGTTGCCCTTTCGATTAACTCGGTCCAACGACTGAGAGAAGAAGAAGAAGAAGAAAATAGCTCCTCGGCTTCGGTAGTTCGGTCTACGGAGGCCATCGAGGTTGCTAGAGCTCCCGAGCCGATGGCGGCTGTAGCTGTCGGGGTTTTTTCTGAAGACCAGAATCTCGACCGGAGTACCCCGAGCGATTTGCTCGGGGCTATGACAATGGGTGATTCGCCTTCTCTTCCAGCTTTTTCTGAGGAGGCGCTGAAGGAAGCTCGAGAGCTGAAGACTCCTGATATCGGCGCAGGCTCTGGTGCAGGGGATCCCTTCAGGGATTGTTTTACTGGAGTCAACGATGGTTCCGATATCGGTGACGCTTCTCTTTTATTGGAGGAGGCTTAGCGTTTCATTACTCGGGTAATGATTCTTCCATACTTCGTTTATTTGTTCTTTACCATACTTGACTCGTGTTTCTTACTGTGCAGGCCATTAGTAGGTTTCGAGTCGATCTTAGCCAGTGTGAGGCCGAGCTCCGGAAGGTCTCAGGTGAGAGAGATGCTCTGCGGCTTCTTTGCAGCCAAAAGGACGAGGCTATAAAGGACCTCCAAGCGGATTTGGCTAGGGTCCGTGAAGAAGGGGTCGAGCTCGATAAGCAGGTGAGCCTCGTTTTGTTAAAGTATGGGTCTGACTCAACCGTGGGAGTTAACCCTTCGTTGTCTCAGTTGCAGCAAAAGGTCGAAAAGATCGGGTTGCTTCGAGAAGAAGTTGGTCAAATCCGAGCTGAATGCAATTGGTGGATGGAGACCCTCGACCACCTGGCAGCGGAAAAAGAAACCATCTTAACAAAATTATTATCGGTCGACGTTCAACTTCAAAGTGTCAAGCAAAAGGGGTCGGTTCAAGCTAAGAAGATCGAGGAGCTTGAAACATGACTTGCTGAGGCTAAGGCGGAGGCTGAGTCGTCGAAAGTCTTGGCGGATAAGTCCATTGCTGTATATCGGGCTGATGCTGAGGCTGCTCAGATGGAGGCCCGAGAAGCGGCGAAGACCGCAGATACTCGAGCTCATTGGGTTGCCGAACTTGCTAAGTGTAGGTCTCGTAGGGAGACCCTCGAGGAGATACACGCTCGAGGTTTCGACCTTACCGAAGAGGTAAAAAAGGCAAAAGAGCTCGAAGCGGAAGCTGAAGCCTTGGCTTCTGACGACGACGATGATGATGGTAGCGAAAGCGGATCCGAGGACAGGGAGGAGGTCGACCAGGAAGCTTAGTTTCTAATTCTTCGTGTTTGTATATTAATCTCGTAGGCAATTTTTGTATATACATGTATAATCATGTCGACTTGTTTTTGTTTTGTGAAGACCTTTAATCGAATGTTGACCTTGTAGTCTCTCTGATCGATCAGATTTGTAGTCCTTGGGTTTGCTTATTGAGTCGATGATTCAAACTTCGAAGGAACATAATCCGTAGGTGTAATGTAATGGTTGAGTTAATGTAAACTCAGAGAAAAAGTACCTTATTAGCTGTCGAGTGAATGTTTTGAACTTGAAACATTGTAGCCCGTAGGCATAATGGTCGAGTGAGTGCTTGCTCGAATTCGGAATAACAGTAGCCCATAGGCTTAATAATCGAGTGAATATTTCGAACTCGAGATAATGTGGCCCGTAGGCGCAATGGTCGAGTGAGTGTTTCGAACTCGAGATAAAGGTAGCTCGTAGTCTTAATATTCGAGTGATTGTTTCGAACTCGGAATAAAGGTAGCCCGTAGGCTTAATAGTTGAGTGAGAGCTTGCTCGAACTCGAGATAAAGGTAGCACGTAGGCTTAATAATCGAGTGAATGTTTCGAACTCGAGATAATGTGGCCCGTAGGCTTAATGGTCGAGTGAGAGCTTGCTCGAACTTGGAATAACAGTAGCCCGTAGGCTTAATATTCGAGTGAATGTTTCGAACTCGAGATAATGTGGCCCGTAGGCTTAATGGTCGAGTGCGAGCTTGCTCGAACTCGAAATAATAGTAGCCCGTAGGCTTAATATTCGAGTGAGTGTTTCGAACTCGGAATGTAAGTAGCCCGTAGGCTTAATGGTCGAGTGAGAGCTTGCTCGAATTCGGAATAACAATAGCCCGTAGGCTTAATATTCGAGTAAATGTTTCGAACTCGGAATGTAAGTAGCCCGTAGGCTTAATGGTCGAGTGAATCTTAATTCTGGTTGAACAATAAATCTTCAAGTCATTGCACATGTGTTTATGTTTGGGCCAATCTATATGAGCATGGTTCATTTTGACCATTTGGCTCTTACAATTTTCTCTGTTGCAATCCTATTGTTGTGAGATGACTTTCTTGCATCTGAACTCGATGTATTTGAGGGCCCTGATGCCCACCGGTATTCGAGGTCTGTCGGAAAGAGGCCTCGGATATTGTTGAAAGAGCAGCACGATCGATGGTTGCCTCATTAAAAACCTTGCCGAAAAACCCATTTGGGAGAAAACCGGTCTAAGGGAAAAAGAGTGAAACGCGTGCTCTTGATCGAAAGATCTTCTTCAGCTCTTGTTCGTACTTCTGCATGGGTTAGTTAGATGAATATGGAAAGGTCGTGCCTTAGAAGTAGTATCGTTTTAGATGTGAT